AGCGTCAGAATAGAAGCCAATTGTTCTGGAAGATGTTCGCAAAATATTTAGGGATTAAAATCTACCAAAAGCTTAAAATTTGTCTAGATTTTACAGTCACCCTAGAGTTCTCAACTAAGGACCAATAGATATAGCATTTTTTATGGGGTTATATTATAAGAAGCGCTGAAGCCTAGCATTTTGAATGGCCATCGAATAATATTTATCTGATGAAATTTACCTCAATTTTTTGTAAAAAAATACCAAATTAACGAAATCACAATTACATGAAAAGTGCAAATGTAACCTCTTCATTGCCGATTTCGTTGACAAATTACCAAATATCGGTGATACAGGAAATCGTATAGAGGAATCTAAAGTTTCGGATATTGTTTTTAATGCACATTAATGTAATAGGGAGGAAGTAAATATGGGGCAAATGTTACGATGAGTTGCATAACTTCATGGTTTCGATCAAGAGCCGAGATAAAACTTTTACAGAATTATGTGACAATATTACAAGAATGAAATGATAATTAAATGTTCAATATGCATGGAAAAATTGTTAGAATGTGAAATTTCTGTTTTTTTTTTTCGAAAAAGAGAATTTGGTATTTGAGGTAATAAGAACATATTTTTTCGTCAAATACCGATGCTTCTTTAGAGATTGTATGTTGTTGGAAAATATTGGTTCCATCCTTATGATGATTATTCGGTTTTAAGATCAGAATCTAATTGTAACTGCCAAATGTTAAGCAAATACTGAGATGTTTTTGTCGGAGATTATTAAAAATATATTATTTTTTAATTTATGTTTTTCATCCTGGCAAACATGTTTCCTTCTTTCTGGCCAGTAAACCATAATTTTAAAGATTTTATTAAGAAATTTCTTGTACTCTTTGACCAATATTATTCCAATAATTTCCTTGTTGATTCCAGATTTTTTTTTTTCATTATCAAAATCCATTGATCTTTAGCCGTTAGTAATTAATATAATCAGAGTTTTTTTGTTAAGTATTGTATAACTTATGTGAATGGGCATATATGAATGGGTTTCCATTTTGATAAATTCAAGAAAGTACTTTATTTTGTACGAGAGATCTAATCCGGGCTAAATTTGGTTAAAATCAATCCATTTATTTGTACAGATTTTATATGCATTCAAATGAGAGTTGGAATTAAACAGATTATACAAACTGCGTAGCCTAGGCTACCCGTTAGATTTTATCATCTCTTTTCAAATTTCTATAGAGCTTCCATGTTCCATCCGACTTCAAAGAGGAAATTCACTTTTAATAATTACCATGAAAACCTTTAAAGGAGAGAAAATGGGGTATATCATTTACATAGCAGAAGTGTAAGCCAAATCGAAGACCAACCAAATGCAACTTTATTTCTCGGTTAGAAAACCCCCGATATGCCTTCACCATTTCCTTTTGAAACTTCTCGAAATATTTATGATAGACCCTACAAAGTATGTATATTCTGGATCAGCGTAAAATTCTAAGACGACATAACAATATCCGTCTGTCTGACTCTTGTAATGACGCTATCTTTCGAACGAATTGTGATAGAAAGGTATTAGGCAGGTTAAGTTTCTAAATGGTCCAGGTCGGTGCATGTTTTCGTATGGCCCCTATACAACGTTACCTCTCGACATTTGGTATTTTGATGATTTTAGCGACATCATTAAGCCGAATTGTTTCAAATTTCGCATTCGAAGTTTGTAATGGGTACAAAAGCCTATGCAGAATGCCTAAGCATTTCCACATGTTTAGTTAGACCCCATATAACGGTACCTCCCTTTATTTGGTATTTTAATGATTTTAGCGACTTTATTCGCCGGAATTGTTTGAAATTTCTTATTTGAAGATCTTAATGAGTACTACAGAATATGACAAGAATTACTTATGCAGGTTCTCGTCTTCGTATAGGCCCCGTATAAAGGTACTCAATTTTTCGGAATTCAATGAAATTATTCAAGTTCCTTCCAAATGGTGAAGTGTATTAAACGGTCGACGCGGTATACCTAACCGGTTTTTCTGTCTTTTTTCATATTTTTTCTTTTTTGTCTTAAGCTCCTTAAAGATGAGATTCCCTGTTTCTTGGTCTGATGACTCTTAAAATAATATTATTAAAAAAAACAAGTAAGCAAAGGCTACAGTCGAGCGGGGCCGACCGTTGAATACCCTACAACGCGATACAGTTTATATAGGCGAGTTACTCGAAAGAATTCCACAAGATATTGTAACAAATAATAAAAGAAAACCACCAGGTTTCGTTCTCTAATTTTCGAATAATAGCAACTTTAACTAATTTGCACATTTCCAATTTATTGGAAGATGTTGCACGTAAATGGTCTTCCTAGATCTGGAATCAATATTTCCCAAAGATCTATAATCTCTCAGAAGTGGCAAAAGATTGACATTTATTAATGGTTTTTGACTGAAACGCATCTATATGAGATACAGACATTTGACTATATTCTTCCACGAAATCAGCCTTAACGAAATAGTCAGAAGTGCGTCTTTCCTATTTTTGGTGAATTCTCCTAAGAGTCACTGGAATGGACATTTTCGTATTTTGTCTACAAGAGTTATTTCACACATTGAATATTTTTGGATTGCCATCCAAACTGCTAGGCTTTTTGCAATGCCCGTAATCCCCATTCAAATGTGCGTGAGGATCGGGCAATAATTACGACCTGCTGACAATTTTGAAGTTTTTTTGGTCCATTTCAACCTCTAAATATATGGCACTCATCTCCAAAAAGAGTAGGGTTCTATTCTGACCCTCATCTGATCCCCATGCAAAATTTCGTTAGGATCGGGCCATAAATGCGATCTGTATATGATATCCTGATATCCTAACTACTTAGTTTTGTTAGCTTTAGAAATATTACCAAATGTTTAATTCAAAATGAAAATCCAACATTTTTTCAGTTTTTGGTCCATTTCGACCCCTAAATATTATGCGATCATCTCCAAAAGAAATAGGGTTCTATTCTGACCCTAGCCCCACCGATCGTGAAGATCGGGCCATAATTGCGACCTGTAGAGTGATTACAAATTAACATGTACAGACGGACGGACGGACATACATAGCTAGATCGACTCAACTCGGCGAGATAGGAAGATCCATATATACTTTCCTATGTGGTAATCAATATTTCGAGGTGTTACATAATTGTTGGCCCAATCAAACTTATAATGCCCCCAACACATAGTGTTGTAGGGTATAATTACATCTTAAAAAATTTCCATTATGTTTTTGTTTCGTACTAATATTCTAGAATCCTTGAAAATATATTTTTAAAACATTCACTCAATTTGGTCTGATGGTTCTTAAAAAGATGATTTTGAAAAAATATGATAGTTTTTTTTTTTTTGAATCCACGTCTAATAACCCTTTGAAAAAATATTTTTATTAAAGATGTTTCATAGTCTGATGATCCTTGCAAAATCCTTAGATTGCAGTATGTTGGTCACTAAAACAATGTTTCTTCGAATCCATATTTTCCTTTGTGGATCAAAAATGTCAGTCAAAGAACCTCCCCGATTTAATACTTAATTAACGGAGTGAAATAAATCCAATTATAATGGAATGGTATTGTTGTCAATGTATCATGAATCAAATATTTCAATACAAATACAAGTATTATTGCAATACAAACCTAAGCCAGGATTGTCACCCAATTTGCAGTTCGTTAATATGGTCTTTTGATGAAAAATATATCCTTTAATTTATATAGAAACCGCCTTTATTCATTTTTATCCATTTACTGTTAGAAACACAGATGGGACCGTTTCAATAGTTGCTTTTTTGTAATTTTCAGTATTTGTATTCAATGCATTTTGTAATTAAGTAATTATTGTTAAAATTAACGCTATTGTTTTCTTTAAATTTCGATTATTATTATATTTCATTCCTTTTGTAACATTCTCATACCAATCTCATATTTGTTGTCATAAATTTTTTGCCATAAAATAGCACGTTTTCCATTACTCTTAAATTCTCTTTATATTTTTCACTTTTTTTATTTTTCTTTTTTTTTTTCAATGCCCTTGAGAAAGTTTTCTCCTTTCGATTTTATTTTTCATTCCATCAATTCTGTCAAACGCAAAATATTTTTTCGCACATTTTTTTCTCAGCGATAAAGAGGAATTTCGTTCAGAAAAAAAAAAAACATCACCACCAACACCATTATTGTGTTATGTGGTTGTTCGTGGTATGGTCTGGAAGTGATGTGCCACATCCACAAAATGCTGGAGAAAAAAAGAACGTTCACCACTTAAAAGGAGGGCAACACACGAACACACACAATTTAAAATCTCGCAAACAGCCACTCGCTTGCATGCATTTTTCCACTTCATTCACAGCTTGTTAAATTTACCCCCAACATTTATTTTTTGGTAAATCATCCTTCCTTTATTGAGTTGCAACAATCATTGACAGACAACATGTCGGAGTTGATGTCAATCAAATATCCATCATAATTTGTTTCAGTCAGCGTGTTAGAGATGTTGGAGTATGGCTGCACTTAACCCCACCCCGGGAAAGTGAAATAATAGCATTTGTACGTTTTCCGGTTTTGCAATTAGAAAAACAAACACAGCACTTAAAATTGTGTTTTCTTTTGTTTTCATTGTTGTTGCTATTCTGCCATACCCTTAAAATAATACCACGCATACACTCACACAAACTATAATCCATTTCAAGTGGCACAAGTCAAAAGGGAACCTCATAACTAGTCCCATACTAAACCTCAAGTTGATTGACCATTGGTTTATGGAAGCTGATGTTGTTGAGGATGAGCAGGAGCAGGGTTATGGAGGGTGATGTTTGTAACATAAAACAATACGGCGCCGGGGTGACAATCCTGACCTCAGATGGTTGGTATTTGCCAAACATTAAGACATTACGCGTAGACCTTTTTTTTTGTTATTATTCCAAAAATTATTTAACCAATTTTTTCGAAAAATAGCCACAACTACATATATTATTTTATTTTTGATTATTACCCCTTAATTAAATTTAGGTTGGGTAAATAGAACATCCTTTGTTCACTTTTTGTTTGTCACACACTTTTCTCGTTTTTTATACTTTTTGAATCATTCTTTATTTTCACTTATTTTCCATAATTTTTTTCATCTTTTTCCAAATTTTTATTTCTTCCAAAAAATCATTTCGATTCAATTCACAAATAAATTTTATTAGCTTTTTTTGGTAGATATTTTAATTTTTTTTTTTGCTATTTCACTTTTGCAGCACACGACACAACATCGTTGTGTGTTGTGTATGAAAGGCGCTAATAGACTAGATTTCAAATCATGCCGCACATTCAGTGATTTTTTTACTGCTGCTGATGGTGTGTCTCCGAAAAAATTCCTTTTGCTACTACAATTACTAAACATTGCTCACAAAAATTGTGCTCACATTGCTCTCTCTTTTTTCGTGCGTGTGCTCTTCCAATAAGAAACAAATGACAAAACTCAAAGGCATAGAAATCGCCATGCTAAGGAAACACATGATACTCCGAAACGTATGGGTTTTGGTTCAGAAACTCCGTAAATGGAGAGCAAGAGAAGATGAGAAATCATCCAAGAGAGTGAGAGAGAGAGAGAGTTACAAATGTGGGAAAACTGTTATACACTAACACAAATTTTTCCGGGCTTTCGTTAGGAATGTTTAACCTCAAACCTCAGCACAATAGCAGCAGAAAAACTGTTATACTCATTTTAATATGAGACAAATGTTTAATTAAATTGCACACAACCTCAGCTCATTACCAGCTAAACTGTTATACTCCAACACATCTAAGAGCTAAATATTTAAATAAAATCAAGACATCACACAATTATTCATTCTCCTCAACATGGTTGACTGTTCGTTCATTCACACAGAAATCCAAATTAAATTAATTCCTCTCTGGCTCTCTTACTCTCATCTCTGTGAATTTACACTACTCTCTACATTGTTTTGCAATTCCAGGACATTTCCTGTTCTCTATTATTTTCACAATCTCTCTAAACATTTTCTCTCTTTCTCACATATTTTCAAGGTTGTTGTGTCCTGTACAACTCTCTGTGTGCGTGTGTGTCGCATGTGTTTTCCGTTTTTTGTTTATCCTTTAACACACCCTATTGATTTGGGTGTTATACTGCCGTTGAACTTTCCGCTGTAACTTACAACACAACAACTAACTCACCACTAATCACATGGTATGGCGTATAAACATATTCAGCAGAAATATTTATATGGTATAAGAGTGAAAGCTCTGGCACTCCGTATGTGTTTTTTATGGAGAGGAAATGAGAATAAATCAAAATAAGGGCTAAATGTTTTGGCTTGCCATCGTAAATGCAAATGTAGTCGAAAACATTTATCTCTTGGAAATTGGTTCGAATGGTTTGTTAAATGTCAGCTTTTTCTTTTTCTACCAAAAAAATAGGCTGAAAAGTACGGATCCTTTGACAGTAGTAAAAGTTTTTTTTTTTTTTTTTTTTTCAAAAATCAGAGTTAAAATAGAAAACCAAAATATAGGAGTCATATTCACCTTCTTACACATTTTTTTTTAAATTTTGGGATTAAGATTTCTTGGACAATGTTGATTTTAGGTAATTTTCAAATTTTTCAAATCAATTTAAAAATACAAAATCTAGAATCAGGTTTTAGACCTGTACCAAAAATTAGACCCACATTGATAACACTGTGGAACACAAAGAACAATTACGGAGAAATCTGTGCGTTATAGGTCCACAATATTGAAATAATATCGGCAATATTGAAAATAAAAATACGAAGAATATTTTGGAAAATTTTTAACCCAAGATCGAGACAACAACGGAGTTTTTCTGTTCCTTTTTATACCCTCCTAAATAGTATGGAGAGTATATTAAGTTTGACATTACGCTTGTAACACCTCGAAATAAACATTTTAGACCCCACAAATTCGATGTCGATTTAACGATGTCCTTCCGCCTGTCTGTCCGTCTGTTGATTTCACTGATAATATTTTACTAAGCTGTGTATTTGTTCTGCAAGACTTTTGGTGTTGAAAATACAGATCCACGTTTAGGTATAGTTCCCATATATCGGTACCTCCCTATACATGCGGTAGTTTGAGGATTTGTTATTCACGGGAATCGTTTCAAGCTTCGTATTTGAAGTTCCTAATAGGTACAGCTTGCGACAGAATATTTCCTATGCAGGTCCAGGTCTTTGTGTAACCTTAATACATCACTCTTTACTTTTTATTTAGCTGATTTCAGTGACATTATTCACCGGAATTGTTTGAAATCTCGTATTTGCAGTTCGTAACGGATACTACAGCCTGTGGCATAAAATTGTCTATACAGGTCCAAGTGTTCGTATATCCCTATTTAACGGTACCTCCCTATATTCTGTATATGGATGATTTTAGCGATATTATTCACCAGAATTGTTTCAAATTTCGTATAGATCCCACGTATGTATATAGTCCCCAATATAACGGCAACTCCTTATATGCGGTATTTTTAAGATTTTAACACAAAATCTCAAAATTCTTTTTTTTTATTTCCAAGTTTTTCCAAATGGCGCAGGGTGTTCGGCCCGATCAAATTTACTGTTTTTTTACGTGTTTTAAAACATACTCTAAAGCTCCCTTTAAATGGAATTGTAGCAATGGTTTAAAACTGCCTTTAACGGTCTCTGAACACAGTTGCTCTACAGGGTTGCCCATATTCGACGGACCCATCTGGCAACGTCATAACCTTTGACAGAGATGTCACGTCGCTTAATGACATACCGCGTTTGAAGCGTCAGTCCAAGCAGATTTTTACCATGAACCAATACACGCCACGCGAGCGCTCTGAAATAGTTGAAATTTACATTCAAAAGAAGAAGTCAATTGTGAAAACTCAATGTGCTTTTAAAACATTAAAAAATGTGAGAAGTGCGCCTTCTAAGAACACCATTAAGCGTTTATACGAAAAATTTTCGACTGGTAAGGCTCTTTCTAATCCGAAGAGGCCATATAAAAGTCGATCAAGGCGATCGGACGAGAATATCGCTGCCGTACGAGCCAGTGTTGAGAGGTCCCCAAGAACATCCCAAATACGCCGTTCTCAGCAGTTGGGCATGGCTCGGTCCACTTTACAACGGATTATTCGCATTGATTTGCATTTGTTCCCGTACAAAATTCAATTGACGCAAAGAATGTTGCCTGCGGACAAGCCTCATCGATTGGAATGGGCCCAAAGGTCCGTCGAATATGGGCAACCCTGTAGATGTCACAGTTAAAAACCAATCTACTCGGAATTTTGCATGGTGCTACAGTTTAAGGCTGGGTAGACGCCTATGGATGATCATCGAATAATATGTGTAGTGTAAAATAGAACATGACTTTTGTGCACCAAAAAAAAAGAAAGGTAAAAGAGACCATGACCATTATGTACAAACATATGAAATGTCTAATATTTTGAATACCAGCGAAATCACAAGTACACGTTAAGGTCACTTCTAGCAAAATATGTGCAATCTATATGTAATAGAAAAGTGGGATGTAAGTTACAACGCCTTCAGCTAGAACGGCTAGACCGATTTTGATAATTCTCTCCAATTCAGAATGGACTCTCGACAGAAAACGATAAATATTCCAATAAAACATTTAATATTTTTTGTTACAATTGTTATATTTTTTATCATATTTTATATCGCATGAAATATTTTCAATTTCACTTACAAAATTGAAATATGTATTTTGTAATAATTTGTATGCACTACAACACCATGGGGATAGGAAGGGGATATCTTATACAGGTTGCAATTATCGTCTTATCCTCACAATGTTTTGCATGTGGATTTGGTTAGGTTCCAAATAGAGGCCTATTGGTTTGAAGATTATCGCAAAATATTTAGGGGTTGAAATGGACCAACAAGTCGAGTGGTAACAATTAACAATTAAAATAATCGATACCGAATTTTTACATGTTATTAGAAATTTGGACGGAGGAATGAAAGAATTCCAATTTTGTATCCTTTATATTATAGCGTTGTAGTGTATCAAATGATCGGTCCCGAACGGCCGAAGTCTTTGCGTACTTGTCTGATTTAAGTACGGTCATAATCATACTCTTGGTCATACCTTCTTTTTACTTTTTCACCTAAACAATTGAAAATATAACGGCAACACTGTGTTAAACTCTTCCCAGTATTGTGCCTTGCTCTCCCTCTTTCTCTCTCTATAGTTTCATCTCCTTGTTTACAAATCTATACATAACATCCTCCCAATATACCTTGTGCCTTTGGTGTTAGAAGGGAAATATGAATTCATGTTAAAAAAGATTTTATTACACATGAATGAATATTGTTATGGGTTTTGTTGTTGGCGCCAAATTATCAGTGTCTGAAATTGGCATCGTAAATAAACGAAATAAAAATGTACAATTTTTTATGATATGTTATAGGCAGACAGATAGTTAGATGAAAATTCATAATGAAATAGTTTTGATTTAATAAAAATGTGAACTAAAAAAAACTAAATGGAGTGTTAAGTATTTTATATGCTTAGAAATATATAATATATTCTTAAGTGACACATTGTTATAAATAATTTTTGATTAATTTTTGTTCATGGATTTTTTACATGCTACTTATAAAATGAGTTGATTCAAGTCAGGTGAAACGAATAAATATTTTCCAATGTAATGCCGAAAATGCCTTAATTGGTCGTCCATTCGTACCATTGTCAATTGTTTTAAGTGTGTTTTCATGGCAATTAAGTGCCCTTTGTTTACAGACAATTGTCAATTCCTAATTGCTCACAATTAAATATTCTATTTAATTAAAATCAATTCAAAATGTTTCAATTAAATCTTTCAATATGAAGTTTAGAGATTTAAACAATATTTGATATCACTTCGAGAAGGATTACATTAAAAATATATATCGGAACCGAGTTCCACCAAATGGAAACGTTCGTCCGAAAAACACTCCATTGATGGAGGCCATTTGATGCAGAATTAACTCGAAATCGGTGGAAGGTATTTATGGGAGGTACATCCAAATCTAAACCAATCTTGATAAAATTTAGCGGACGCATTTCTGGGCTGTATCTGATATCTGGTACCAATAATCTCCACATAATTTGCAAAAAAAAAAAAAAATAATAATTATAATAATTTACATTTAAAATAGCAAAATAAGTATCCGTTTGTGTCCGAAATGGAAGAAATCAGCTCACACATTCTGGTACCTTCACCACAAAGGGTAAAAATATTGAGTAATTATAACTCTCATAACAAAGGAAACAGGTCAGG